CTATTCTATTCTATTCTATTCTATTCTATTCTATTCTATTCTATTCTTATTTGCACCCTATGACTAAGTGTTGCACCTGATGATTCTTGACTCTTGATGAACGTATCTTTTCTTTTATGTACACAGAGCATTTGCACCAAGACAAATTCCTTGTGTGTCCAATCACACTTGGCCAATAAAGAATTCTAATTCTAATTCTTTATTATTTTTTTCAAGAGGCAATTGGACTTTCTGGTTTTTCTTTCAAGATGTTTCGCTTCTCATCCAAGAGCTGAAGCAAAATGTCTTCAAGATAAACCAGAAAATCCAGTTGCCTTTTTTTTCCTTTTTCTTTTTTTTGGGAGGGGTGGGGGAACCACCTTTGAGATTTCTTTGAAGAGTTTTTGATAGCGGTATGGATGAAGGACCACGTGTGTTCTATAATCACCGGATGCAAATTGAGGTTATGGGAAAGAAAGAATGGAGAAACCTGGGATGAGGGACTGATTGTCACCCTAAAAAGGAAGGGATGTGTGTATCAATGTTTATTTGAAGGTCCAATTATTTATAGTCTATATCAGGGGTCTCCAACCATGGCAATTTTAAGACTTGGCAACTTTAACTCCCAGAATTTAAGGAATGGCTGAGGAATTCTGGCAGTTGAAGTCCACAAGTCTTAAAGTTGCCAAGGTTGGAGACCCTTGGTCTATATGCTGGTCATAGGTTAATGGGGAACGATGGTTGTCCAGCTGTAATTCTACCCCCAACCAACATGTCTAAAGAGTCAGAGATGATAAAAAGTGGAGAATCACTAAATCTCTAATTTGGGGTTATTGTAGAATTGAAAGTCCAATTATTGGATTGGATACTGACCATGTATTGGGGTTGTGCGAGCTGCCAGCAATAAGTCACGAGAAGCTGTGATAAAATGGTTCCGGAGCATGTTGAGCAAATGTTCAAGAAAAGAGAGATGTTTGCACAGCATAGATGGCTCCTTCTTGGTTTCCAACAATGATGGCTGCAAGATATGACGATCTAATCTAATGGAGTTAAGCAGAGGTTAACTTGGCTCAACAGACTCAGTTCTGAACATGGTAACTCTTGGATTGATGGAACAAGTTCAACTCGGTTATTCTGATTTGTTTTGTCTTCCTTCCTCCCTCCCTCCCTCCCTTTCTCCTCTCTCCCTTTTTCTTTCCTTCCTTCCTTCCTTCC